GCTGATAAAGTGAAGATAGCAGGAAAAAGACGTCTGTCCTCTACTGACCTCTCTCTATAGTGCCATTATATCCAAGCACTCTCAAACAGTAACGGTAACATGAGCTACAGACACCACGTTAGAACAAAAAGAACTGTCATTTCCATTTGTTCATTTTACTCTCATCTTTTCAAAGAAGGGTTGGAGGGAGCACATGAATCACCTTTGTTTTATACAATGTGATAAGTCAAGCCTCAAGTCCTTCCTGTTACCTTCCCGGAGGTTCACATGTGAATTTTGGCTGTTCTAAAGGCTCAGGGCTGCTTCCAAATGCAGTAAGCAGTCTATATTTAATGTGTTAACACATGAAAGCTCAAAGAATGAACACAATGGTTTACGGTGCCCCAGGCACCCCCCCGATTAAGGAACATTAGTAGTCTAGGTCGACTTAGTTTTTACAAATAAATGACAAAAATAAGAGAGCATCACATTAACAAAGTTCTATCGGTAACTTATAGTTTTATTGCCTATTATAAGATATTACATCGCAATTGGTTGACACTGAAATAGGTAATCAGCCTCATACTATAATCAGCCTCAAAATAATTAATGCATGTATATAATTAATCTGCCTCATATGTATCATAGTTACAATCAGTCTGCCTGACCGTCAATCTGTCTGTCTGTCCATCTATCAGAAGGACAGAGAGACCAGATTTAGCTGCTGGCACAGGGCACATAATCATTAATGTTAAAGGGACACTATAGTCACATGAAAACAACTTCAGCTTAATGAGGTTGTTTAGGTGAGAACTATAGCTCCCTGCAGCCTTTCTCATGTAAACACTGTATTTTCTGAGAAAATACAGTGTTTACATTGAAAGCTAGGAACACCTCCAGTTGCAGTCACTCAGAGTGAACCAGAGGGACTTCGGAGTTGATGGAGGCATAATATGCCTCCATACACTAAGATCTGCTGTCAGCAGAGCACAGGGCAGCACTGTGCACAGCATCCTGTGATTCAGTATCTCCTCCCTCTGCATGCAGACACTGAACTTTCCTCATAGAGATTAATTGATTCAATTCATCTCTATGAGGAGATGCTGATTGGCCAGGGCTGTGTTTGAATCATGCTGGCTCTGCCCCTGATCTGCCTCTTTGTCAGTCTCAGCCAATCCTATGGGGAAGCACTGTGATTGGATCAGGCTACCACATGTCAGCAGATGGCTTGTTTTTCTGAGTCTAACAGCATGCAGGTTTACAGCTTCAGGCTTGAATACAGTAAGATTTTTACTATATTTATGGAGGCATGAGGGATCCAGGGGGGCTAGATGGTGGTGTTAACACTATAGGGTCAGGAATACATGTTTGTGTTCCTGACCCTATAATGATCCTTTAAGCATCTTATTCTTACAGAACACAGTGGACCAATCTAAAGAACCGGTTGCCATGTTCTCACAGAGAATTCTTTGATTGTCCTTTTAGGGACAGGAAGGGGCCTGTCTCAAGGACAGTTTTAGCCACAGGAATGCGTAAACCAAAATTGCTACAGTTTCAGACAAAATACAAAGCCACACTATATTTGTACCATATGTGCAAGGATTTTCTATTTTTGGGCTTGATCGGGTAAGGTATTAAGCATGGCTACATTCTGCTCCATACTGCTCATCTCTTCCTCCTCTAAGTAAAAGCAATTTCCCCCACAATCCAAGTCAGGACCTTCAAAGTCCATAAATTAGAGGTGGAACTCAACAAGTATGGTCTGGCTCCTTTCTGCACACTTTATATTTATCTTTGTTGAGACTTTAGTAGAGACAAATGTAGAGCTCTCCCATCTTCATTATTACAAAAACCTTCACCCATCAGCTTGGTGCACAGATAAATATGCACACACACTCACACAGATTCTTGCACACAGACATTTACAAACACAGTGCAAACTCAAATGCTCACACAAATAGACACACAAAGATGCTCACACATTATAACAAACAGAGACACTCACACACTGTGACACTCATGCATGCACCTAAACACATACATATCCTCAGACATACATACATTCCCTTTCTGTGAAATGATAGCTTGAGAATTATATGTTTACACAATCTCTGGCATAACATGTCCAATTTTTTTTTATTATATCTATTACAAAAAAAAATCTGTTATTGATAATTATCACCACCCTTACCATTTGCAGGTCTTTTGGATGACAAATATGTGGGCAATCTCTTCCTGCTGAAAGGGCCCATCAACCCAATGCACACACAGATAGACGGTCTCATGTGCACATACAGACACACAAAAGAGACACTTACATACACATTGTGACACTCAAAAACACATTGATATTCATATACATTCTTTTTATGGAAGTGTTTTCCTCCCTCCTTTCCTTAAGCTTCTTGCAGAAAGGGTGTTTGTGGATAGAGAGAAGCTCTTTGCAGTCCCTAATGTCTAGTGTTGAGCTGTGCAGTACAGCTGTACTTCTTGGTCCCCACCAATGTGCAGCTATACATTACACATCATATCTTGGTACCTGCAGCATGTCTTAATGCTACCAGTAACTCATCAGTAACTCCCCCCAAGCAAAAAGCAATTTTTGTTCAGTTTCTGGGTGCCTGGTAACCAGTGACTAATGCTCTGCCCAGCAAACAGAGATGCCACTGTGAGTACCTCTACAGTATATCTCATACTAACACCTGAGCTTTCATGACGACATAGGGCCCAGAGCTGGGTGGGCCTGATATGTCTAGAATGTATGTGGTGAGATTATTAGAGGTAACTATTACATTGTAACTTACATGCGTGTCATATGCCAACATCATGGTTTCATGCCAAAGGAAATGGCTTTACAATGACATTAAGCAGTTGAAGATTGTTGACAGAGAAGCCAATAACCTGGCATCATGTTCACCTTGGCAGCTGAAGATGGCACTGTAAAACCCATCACCTAGATGTCTTTTTTTCCCACTCATGTAGAATGCATAATGCATAACTGTTGTTGAGTTGGCAATTTTGGGGTTTTCTTAACAGTAATCTATCAAGTCCTTTTGACTGCCAAAACTGAAAAGCAAATAAATGGCTCCATTTATATGTCGATAAAGTTAATCATATAATCTGGAGTTATTGTGATCACTTAAACTTGACTGTTCCCAGTAGCATTTTTCACTTAACTTACAATGCCATAAACCATGCTAAAAAACATTGAAGGTGTAATTGTGTTGTGCCGACATTGTTAATGGCTCATTGGCACTGGTTAACATGTTAAAGTTTTGTCAACAGAGTGATCGGATCATTCTGACACCTTTTCAGATAGCACTGGAGGTGAAGTTGTCTGGTAATTCTCGTTTTGATATGCTTGTAGTGCTGCATTTTGCATCTGTAATTTGGGGAACTGTGGCTTGGAGCAGAACTACATTTCCCATTAATTTAATGCTTGACATGAAATAAGAAAAACAAAACAAAAAAACCTCACAAGAACCAAAATTAGATTTTTGATTGGTGGAGCTGGTAAGGAAGGGGTCTGCCAACTGCTGCACTTTTAGGAACCATGAAGGTCATTTTTTTTCCCCATTTTATAATTTCAATGTATTTTTTTGCATACTGTTCAAACTTTATATCTATATAACACGCCCAAAAATTAGGAGCTAATGAAGTAATCTACGTCTGTCTCCATCCCATTTTATCCTTTAAATTGTAATCTCATGGACAATCTCACAGGTAGGGCATACCTTTACTTTGGTCAATAAAAGGCTGTCCCTCCAGAATTGTTCGGGTTCCTACGCTCATGCCTGTTACAGTAATGTTTATACCATTGCCATAGTGGCGTTTGTGGTTTTAATCATAGGTAGTTCACCGTGTCAACAAAGAGAGATTTGTTTTGTTTCCAGATGTCTTCTCACCGCACATATATGGAATGCAGGTGCTCTGGGCTCTAAAAATAGCACAGTCTCTCTGATCTTTAGACAAAAAATGTCATCTAAACCTTTAAAGTACATAATAGAACTTGCTATTTTTTTTGTCTTGTGCTATTATATTCCCAGACACCGCCAAGTCTGTCTGGTTCCAGAAATTATCTCTGCTTAAGTTAACATTGTAATGCACTGGCTGTGTTGTTACACTATCGAAGTATACATCCGAAAATGAATATTTACTAATTAGCTGTCTATTTTCTGGCAAATCAGTCTGTTGTGTACTAATCACTTTATATAGCTATTTTTGTTTGAAGGTTTAAAGAAACAGTTCACATTTATGTAACTACCTTTTAAAATAATTTCTCTCAAACCGGAAACTACCTGGACTGATTGCATAAACTCGCACAATGAAGGAAAGTTCCATTATCTATCTTCATTATTTAAAGTGCTTGAATGGCTAGACAAAAGATTAACTGCATATTATAGAATGTCTGTATTCTCTTCTGTCTAAGTGAGACTGTCATACATAATATGATAATATTTCAAATTAATCTGTTAATCGTTTTGTCTATGCATAGATTAAAATGTTTATGTGTATACATATATATAATATTGACATACGCATATAATATCTGATTTAATATATAATCTATAAACCTCAAGAATAGTTTCCTTATTTTCACCCTACATCTTGCCAAACTCTACTATAATAATATACTATACATATAGGACATTGGGGGTCATCCTGCTTGACTGATAGGTACGTTTATTCACTGTTTTTGTAATAGGTTAACAGGCAGTCATTAACCAGGGTTTTTAAAATGATGTTTACTTATGTTTGGCAATTATGTATTTGTGATGTGAAAAATTAAATAAAATTGTGTTTGTCTTGCAACTGGGTGCAACATTCTTAGTTCCCTGTCGGTCATTGTTAAAAGCTTTTTGCACAAAAAAGTTTAATCCACACATTAAAAAAGGGGGGTGGGGGGGTACTTCATGCGGGGGGCTCCAGAAAGGGAGGGCCAATCCCTGAAGACATCAAATAGAAGAAAAGAAATATCCAGGCACACCTGAGGTTTCTTCTAAAAGGCAGTCTTTTTATTTGAAACAAGGAAGTGGAGACAATGTTTTGGCTCCTCTCTGAGCCTTTATTATGTGTTGATGAAAGCTCGTAGAGGAGCCGAAACGTTGTCTTCATTTTCTTGTTTCAAATAAAAAGACTGCCTTTTAGAAGAAACCTCAGGTGTGCCTGGATATTTCTTTTCTTCCATTGGTAAAAGCTTTGTCCCTTGCATCAGGCAAGCATGTGGAGAATAGGAGATATGGAAAAAGGTTTCTCTTTCTCCTCTTCTTTCGCAATGTTTGCCCTGACTTGACCTTGACTGAAAGTGGTGATTATGTCATTTGCTAAATCTTTAATATAAATTGAAAAGAAAATGGAGAGTCTCATAAAAAAAGAGCTTGATACAAGTTAAAGGTGAGTATTAATGTTTTAGTCAACGGTATGAATGCCAGATAAGTGGCTGTTCTCTTTTGTGGTTACTTTGAACTACACTTCGCCTAGAACATATAACTGTTACATTGGACACAGCTTTTTTATCTCGTCTAAATCCTGACACCTTCAATGTTTCTAAACCCCATTTCCCGGTATGGTAAGCAGATATTTCCCATTCAGCTGCCCGAGCACAAGGCCATTTTGCAGAGATATTTTTCCAGCAACATACACTCTAAAATAAGCTTTTGAGTTTTTGCTTGTTGAAGAGTCCATTAAAATATAGGTTAAGATTTCAGAACTTAACTAGTTTAGAAGATGTGGAATAACAATAAAGAGTATAGTGCTAAATTCTGATCTTTGTCTTCACCAGAGGTGGAGTGGGTGCAGTGAGGAGACTAGTAAAGAACATTTGAAAAATAAATATATAACTAGAATATTTGAGTTTTTTTGGAACAAGACCAAGCCAAAATGCACAACCCTCTCTATGTTCTTCAGTATAACAGTACTATCCTTCAGACTTTGTCTGCTAGTCCTACTCTTACTCACTCAGATACAAGGATAAGCTGTCCTGCACTCCTACCAGAATGTTGCCCATTGTGTCCTCTAGGGACTTCCCGGAGATCTAGTTTCTCCAGGTGTTCCAATGGTGGGCAGCAAAAGATTTCTTCAGAATGAAAAACCTTATTCTCAGGGGCAAGTGTATCCTCACCCTTGTCTTCAGGGAAACACCCAGCCTACCCCATTCAGAATACTTCTGTTCCAACCATTTAATGTAATTTGCACACTCCCATCTACTATCCTTCCCACACAGATAAACCCAGCTTTTACAAGCCAATCTGTTGGCGCAAGGTCATGTCCAAAGATTTGATTTCCATCATTTATGCTCGCCTCATAGATATTTTGCTCCTCAACCATCCCTCATATGTACTGCAATGGGTGACTGAGTTGAGGGAGTCTGTGAATCCAGAGGAGTTGACCACAATTCCTCCAAGACTCTGTTGCTATGTTGCTGTATAAGAACTCTTTCAAGACCTTTGCCTGAATGGTAACTAACTCCAAACAGACTCCGACACATCCACCCATTTCATTCTACGCTGTGCTTTTGGGGATGTGGGGAAGAAGGAATCTACATCAACAACATAGTGGAAATGCCCCTTTGTTAATCAACTTTGGAGATTTTGTTTGTAGAGATTGGTGCTGCCTTTAGAGACAATCTTGAGTGCAGCTCTTGGTCAGCCTTAATTCACTGCCCCTACACTCTTAAGGATCTGCTGCCCATAAGCTGATCTTCAGGATATGAACAGCGATAAGACTGTGTATTGCTAAACACTTCTTACCTGAGATATTGAAAACATTCACTATATATTGACAATGGATCAGATTATAACATCCCTATGAGGAACCTCACCACAATTTTACAAAACTTGGACTTCTGGATCAAGGTATAGTTGGAGAGGGGGGATCCTTGTCTTCTCCTGTTAACCTAGGCCACTCTTCTCTACTCTTTTTTTGCTTTTGTAATGAATTCTGATAGCATTCTTAATTTATGGATACACCACTGATGGCAAGCCTTGGCACTGGAGCTATTTGTGCCTCGCATATCCCAAGATGCTTTGTGAGCATACAGGTGTGGCTTTGTACTCATGCACATGCTCTGTAATTACTACATAGAGAGGAAAAAAAAAAATCAGGAAAAAAAGGTGTTGCCAATTCATACAGCAACACAACTACATATATACGTATTTCACAGCGCAGTACAATAGATGGACTAACAAACAAGTAGTTACAACAAGACAAGTTGGATGTACAGAAGGTACATAAGGAAATGAGGGCCTGCCTTAAATGAGCTTACATTCTTAAGGTAATTCACTAAATGCGCACTGACAACAAACGGAAAATATGCACAGTATTGACATTAGCAGGGCTGCTTTCCTAAGGATGCTATTTAGGTGCAGTGGAGCTTTACTGGCTATAATGAGCACTGTGAACAGTACAACACTAGACAGGAACATTCTCTACAGAGCGTATTAAAGCAGTTTTCCCCTCAATCATCGATGTTCCTAAGAATTTTATTTTCCTGTTCAAAAAAACAAACAAACACATATACCTCTATGGCAATGCTAAGCACCTTTTGAGAGAGGTCCAGTACTGGCATTGTCAATCAACATCCGCACTTGTCATTCTGCATAGATAACTTTACTTTCTATATAGAACACAGAGGGAGGTTTTTCTAACCTTTCCTTTTGTTATCGTTTTAGTTTTTGACAACAGACAAAAAAAGTGTTTATAGGAAACAATTCCCCACGGCTGTTATGGTTGTATTAAGTCTGATAACAGAAGAAGGAAACCCCACCTGTCAATACGAGCAGTGACAACAGAAAAGAAGAAATAAATATTTATGTTACAATGGAAACGTAACACAAATATATACATTTATACAAATTCTTCAAATAATTGTTTTTGTTAGGTAATGTCTTCATGGACATATTTATTTGACTCACTCCTGTATATATTATATTTGTCTTTGTCCTACGGCTCTTGTAAACGGTTCTGGAATGTTTCAGACACTAGAATTGTCTGTTGCATTTCATTACTCTATGCTAAGACTGTGCCTTTAGATATTTCGCATTCTCTAACAATATATGGGGTGATGGGGCAGCAATAATTCTGGGGTTTTAATCATGTGAGAAGCTGGCTGACAGTTCAAGTCTGTCTAATATCTGTAATACATTGCTGCTGGTACAGTGAATTGTTTTAGCACTCGGTATGCGATGTTCCAGGAAACCTGCCACTTTGCTGCTTTTAGCAGTCACTGTATTCTCCAAAAGCTAACTCATCAATGGATCTGGCCTGACAGATATGCTCTGTGCTGTGTTCAAAACAGGTACCTTGTCAAGAGCAAAGATGGGGAAAGATTCAGTGAATTCTTCTCACTACGTCTTAAAGCAAATTAGCTCGGATTTACTGCCAAAAGAACCAAGGTCACATACAGGGATTTCTTTTTTTTTTTTTTAAATTAATAATCTTCAACATCAGCAAAATCACAAAAAAATAAAAAATAAAATAAATAATAATGCTCCCGCTTTAAAAACCTAAAACAAATAGTGATCTTAAAATCTTGTGTCACATAAAATAAAAGGTACGTAAATTATTCTGTAAATCAGGACTTTTCCAGAAATGTTAACATTTTCAAATACACAAAAACTGAAAAAATTAGATACATTGGAATTTGTTTGAAGTTCAACTATTTTAAGTTTTAAGTTTCCTGGCAGAATTACATGGTATGTAAGGAAACTGTGGCCTGTAAAGGAGGAGGTTGGATTGTGCTATAGTTGAGGAGGGTGGTACCTACATTAAGGTATGCAAAATAAAATAAATTGTAGAAATCAACTTCTGTTTCTGTTCCTCCATCTTAACTCCCTGTCACTCATTGTTATAAGCTCCGTCTTTTGCACCTGACAGCACAGATTACCATAATGAGACACATTGTGTTGCACAGCACCATCTCATGGGGAACAGTTCCTTGTCTCACTGTCTGAATTATTTGTATATGTTTGGCTATATTTGCATGGCATGTTAATTTTAGGAGTGCTATTAGCTTTTATTGTCTGTGTCTCCTTACTCCCCTAGTCTTTGATGAGTGATATTTTATTTTGGGTTGATATTGGATACCTGTTTCCCTGAACTATGTTTTATGTATTGTTTTAAACTTGGCAGAGGGGGAGGTTATGATATCTGCTATAAAAGGGACAATATAGTCACCAGAACAACTACAAAAGACAAGTAAGGGCTGTGCCACATATGGTAGGATAAAATAAAGATAAAATAAAATAAATACTGTGAGTCTTATTCCAGATGTGCAAATTGTCACATATAAAAATGTCTCTTATTTGGAAGGTAGGTTCAACTGTGGTTCCTAGGTTCTTTATACTTGGAGGGTGTGGCGGTTCTTGGTGTCTTTGGTCTCCGTTTGTGGGTAAAGAAGAGACAGAATAACCTGATAGTGCAGTAAGTCAAGACTTACTAGGCCTTGTATTAATAATAATGATATTGCACTCACATGACCAGCTCTAGTGTGTATCGCCTATAGTGGTATAATCCTCACTTATGGCATATGGTGAGGGTTGGTCTCAGTTGGTAGTTGTCTAGGTGCTCGGAGAGAAAATAAGAACAGCCACAGATAGTGCTCTCAGTAAGACAATAATAGTTGTGTTGAATATAAGAAATCATACTTACAAGTGTAGAGCAGGCTCACTGCTCTGTGGTGACAGCGTTGGTGGTATAATCCCCACCTGGGATTTGCTTGGGAGTATTAGTAGAAGAAGTGAAAAAATAATAATAAAATAAAAAGAAGTTAAATATATTAATATTTAAAAAGCCAGGAAAAAATGTTTGAATAAAAAGGTAATGGTACAATAAAATGTTGTAAAAGCAAAATCCCTTATTATATCAGATAAAAAAAGTAGTTTCCATAACGCGTTTCATCATAACAGACTTTCTCAAATGGATTAAAGCATGCAACTACAGCTTAATGTAGTGGTTCTGTGTCTATATTGTGTTTAAGGGTTGCATTGTGTGTGTGTGTGTGTGTGTGTGTGTGTAATGGATGCATTGTGTGTTTCTCTGTGTATAAGGGAAGCTTGTTGTGTTTCTTTGTGTGTAAGGATGCATTGTGTGTTTCTGTGTATGTATAGGGATGCATTGTGTGTGTAT